AACTTTAAAAAGCTTATAAGTTAAAAAATAAATAAAAAAATCAAATTTTAAAAAAATTTTAAAAAATTAAATTTTATTCTGGAGCAACACCCGGATTTACAGCTAGTAAGAAAAAAAAATACTGGTACTTAGCTTTTGTACCAGTTCTGGGTCTAGATCTTCATTCGCTCATAATGCATTTTCAAGATTCACAAACCTACAAGAAAAGGTTAGAAGAACGAAAAACTGCAAGAAGTAACAAGAAAAAATAAATACTAATACTTAGCTTTTGTACCAGTTCTGCATTCAGATCTCCATTTCCACACATTTTTAAGATCCACAAACCTACAAAAAAAAAGAAGTTAGAAGAATAAAAAACTGTAAGAAGTAACAAGAAAAAAAATAATATTGATACTTAGCTTTTGTACTAGTTCTGAGTCTAGATCTCTATTTCTGATGCATTTTCAAGATTCACAAACCTATATGAAAAAAAAGGTTAGAAGAATAAAAAACTGCAAGAAGTAACAAGAAAAAAAAATACTGGTACTTAGCTTTGTACCAGTCTCGGGTCTAGATCTCTATTCTTAATGCATTTTCAAAATTTACAAATCTACAAAAAAGAAGAAGTTAGAAGAACAAAAAACTGCAAAAAGTAACAAGAAAAAAAATAATACTAATACTTAGCTTTTGTACTAGTTCTGAGTCTAGATCTCTATTTCTGACATATTTTTAATATCCACAAACCTATAAAAAAAAAAAGGTTAGAAGAATGAAAACTGCAAGAAGTAACAAAAAAAAATATACTGGTACTTAGCTTTTGTACCAGTTCCAGGACCATATCTTCATTTACAACATGCTTTAAAATTCACAAATCTACAAAAAAAAAAAGTTAGAAAAATAAAAAACTATAAGTAAAAAGAAAAAAGTACTAGTACTTATCTTGGTCCTAGTTCTGAATCCAAAATCTTAAACTTGGCTCTTTTCAGTTTCCTAGCAAAGCACAAACTTACAAAAAAGGAAGAAAATATTAGTAAAAAAGATAGTAAATAAAAAAAACTACAAAATGAAAAAAAACTAAGATCAAAAAAAGAATAAATAAAAAAAAACTTAAGATCGAAAAAAAAAACCAAAATTGTAAAAAAGATCAAAGTTAAAAAAAAAATCAAAAAAAAACTAAGATGAGATTGAAAAAAATATTAGAATCAAAAAAATGTTAAGTGAAGATAATCATCTGTAATATAGATCATTAATAAATACCTGATATGTAAAAATCGTAGTACAGTTTGTAATGAAGTTGTTAACAATTAATAACTATTAATTGTTATATATCGATTTAAATAAATATGATAATAATCAATCTATATATAAATAACAATTTATAACCAAAAATGATATATATCAATTATAGTTATATATTAATATATAATATGTTTATCGATATTTATTATTATTTTTTAAATGATATATATCGATTAAATGCTATATATCGATTTATATCTATATATAAATTTTGCTGATGATGTTCAAAGTGGTACTGGCCAGGAAGGTGGCAGTTGTGGGTGCATTCTACAACAGAACATGTAACATTTTATGTTCTACTATGACGATTAAAAGCCATTGAAGAGTAATAAAACAACTTTCTTTCTGTGTACAATAATGCAAGATTAGATTTATTAGTCAATATCATTGTAATACAATTAATATTTGCACAAGTTGATTGGCTACAGCAATTGCATGATGGTTGTATAATAACATCCTAGAAATCTGAATTTAAAACTGAATAGCATCAATTGTATAAAAAAGAAGTAACCAATTCTAATTCACAACATGTTACTGATATGCAACAATGGGTATGTTCATGCTTCAGCTTTTTGTTTAGCAGATTTTTCATCTGCAAACATTTGGTCCAAAACATAGAACTGATCCCTGTCAGATTTTTTAAAAAGATTTGCTACCAAGAATTTTGCTCATTTTTGCTATTCACTAAGAAAAATGATAATCCTTTTAAAAACCTACCAGAAAACCTTTTTCTTATTGCTTTAAATAAATCTTCAACAGAGTATGTATCAGACCAAGCTATAGCAGATAATAATTCCAATGAAGAAACTTTTCAGAACAATATAGTAGTTGAATTATCCCAAGATAGTGATGATATGATTATCGAATTATTACCTCAAGAC